GAAGTGTCTTAATGTACCCCAACCCATAGTGCTGGGTGATATGGCAAAAAAAAATTATCATGACAATTTTTAAAATATGAAATCATAGTGATAGTTATAATAATAATAATAATAATTATTATTATTATTATAATTATTATTTCTTTAAGTCACTGCTCCCTTTTTGCTTAATGTTCCCTTCAAATTCCATGAGCAAATTAAGGACATGAAAAAGGTGATCAAATTTAATAGATTGGAAAATGAAATGTAATTTTAATAAATAAATCATGCGAAAATACATTTTCTTGTTGGGCAGAGTAATAGTAGAACAGTCCGCTAATACGTTTTGTTGTTTTTCTTGGGCTTGTTCCAGGGAACTGGTTTGACTGTGGTTGGGCAATATGCTCTAAAGATAATATCACATTTTCATTGTGCATTCCCAGCAAAAGGTGTTGTTAGAGGTCTTTTATTGTTCAAAGAACTTGTATCTATTGTGTAGAACCACTGTCAAATACACACTGAGGATTCACTCTCAGTTCAGTTCAAGCATCATGCATCACCTACCCTTTCTTTGCCTATAAGCTTTTTGGGTAACATAGGAGACTCAAACTAACAATGATTTAGATTCAGATGAAAAAGGGGATTTATTGTTCATGTATCCTCATCCTTTTAAATTTAATTTATTTGATTATTTTATTGTTTCATTTTTGTGTTAAAAAAAATTCTTGTTGTAGTTTTTTGTACAACGGGGATCTTTGTTGGTGCAGTGCTCTACACAGCATCTTGGTGTGCTTGTATAAGTAGGAGGAGTCTCATAGTTGTATAGCCTCTTAGAATGTTTGTATCACAGTTTTTCCAGAGTGGGTGGGATATAGGAAGGTTTGGAATATCGTGTGCTTGTCACTTTCCTAATCTTCACATCATTTCCTTGAACACCGTTACTACCCAGATCACTGTTGCTGCCTTCAGTTTGCTGGTGTGTTTTTGCAGTATCGAAGCAGTGCTTCCTACAGTTACATAACATCGCCAACCTACAATGTTTTCTTACTATTCATTCCTTTGTATGCAGTAGGCTAGACTACTTTAATGCTGTATTATCTGGGAGCACACACTGCGCATTAAACAACCTACAGTGTATTGAATACACAGCAGCTTGCATTGTTACCGGCAGCAGGACATTCAAATGCATAATCCCTGCTCTTTTTTCCCTGCATTGACTTCCAGTTCAGGACTGACTTCAAAGGTCTACTTACCTAAGAGGCACTCAAAGGTCTAGCACCTGCATACCTAACAGATCTGATTCAACTTGGGGGTGCATACTCATGCCACAGCTGTTGCACGTGTTTTTCTATCGTTCAGCTACAATATATACAGCTGTTACTGTGCAAACCACTACATTTTGTCTTATAAAAAATACATATTTTCTAGTTGTATTGTTATTTTGGTAAATTCTCATTCTGTAACATGCATCCATATTCTGTATTTTCTTAGTCCTCTACAGGGTCACAGGGTCCAGAGCCTACTGTATTTTTAAACTGTGGATGGAAACTGGTGAACCTGGAGGAAAACCCACATGGAACAAATGTACCCACACACAGGAGCAGAGACTCCGACCCTGGTCCCAGAGAGGTTTAAGTTATCCACTGCACCATCATGCTGCCCCATTCTGTAACATGTTATCTGTAATAAAACAACAGGCATGTATTATATAGTATTAATGTTCAAGTAATGATAGAATACAATGAGGGACTGAAGTATCTCCCAATCAGAAAGCAGGAAGCTTTCCAGAACTTGGCAGTGAACTGTAGACCCCTGTCAGATACAAAACGTCGAAGATGAGTTGGGCTGCCTCCACACAGGATGGGGGCTTGGGTGCAGATACTAAATCGGTTGTCCTAGACAAACGATCGCCGATGGTCAAAACCAGAGTGTTATTGTCCAAATCTAGAAAGCCAGTAACAAAATCCAGGACAAGGTGGGACCATGGTCTCTTGGGAACTGGGAGATGATCAAGAAGACCAGCTAGTGGTCTGTTGCTGCTCTTGCATGGGGAACAAGAGGAGGAGGCCATTATGAAGTACCTGACATCTGAGAGGATGGATGACCACCAAAAAACACCAAGTGATGAAGGCGAAGGAGATACCAGGATATCAGGACAGGTTGGATGAATGGGCCCACTGAAGAACCTGGGAGCAGATAGGGGAGGGATATTACCTGGAGCAGGATCCGATCCTGGCATTTAGGAATCCTGGACCAGGGTCTCAATGTCCTATTGAGTTGTAGCATTCAGGCTTTGGGAGAGTAGGATGGTTCCTGGGTCTGACGGCTCTTCTGCTGGGGCAAACTTTTACCGTTTACTGTTCTTGGAGCATGGACGGTAGGACAAGATGAAATTGAATTGCAAGAAGAACGCCCATTAGGTTTGCCTTGAGTTGAGTCTCTTCACCATCCTTATGTACTTCAGATTCTAGTGATCTGGCCAAAGACCACTAGGGGGCAGCAGAAACTGGAAAAGCAACAAGAGAAATCTGAGGGCCACAGTTACTGGTAAAGGTACCATTGACATGCTTCCATATCTGTCATGACATGTTCTTGACGCTATTGGCCCTAGCCTAGTATCTATTATTAATTGCTCTCTGCACTCTGGCTGTGTTCCTGATTATTTCAAACATGCCGTTTTTCATCCATTGATCCATTGCTGAAAAACCTAATCTTGACCCTTCCATTATAAAAAACTATAGGCCCATCACAAAACTGCCATTCTATTTAAAAATCTTAGAAACGGTTGTTGAGCAACAACAGGCTACCCAACCTTGAGACAAACAAGCTTAGACCCCTTTCAATCATGGTTTTGAAAGAATCATTCCACAGAGACAGCACTACTAAAAGTTTCAAATTACCTACAAATGGCTGCAGATACTGGTAAGTGTACTAGTTTTTCTTGATCTCAGTCCGGCTTTTGACACAGTTGACCATAAAATCCTTTTAGATGGGTTAACCCACTCGGTAGATGGTACTGGATCAGCTTTAGCCTGGTTTTCGTCCTACTTAGCTGACAGGAGTTTTTCAGTTTGTGCGTGTGAGTTGACGTCAGCGAGATATGAAGCATACCTTTCAATCTTTGCATGCCAACTTTTCATTGGACACTCTGCATAACCTTTCTGATTAGGTCTTCCATGAATGCAGTGCACTCTGAAAATTGGCATTTCTGCAGATTTTGGTGGTTAGGCCTATATGCTCAGTGGTTAGTCTAGATGTCACATCCATAACGCTGGAACTGCCCATGTTCACCGTACTTTAGATTCATACCTTAAATGCTGATCTTCACTGAAATTTTTATGACATTAAATACCGCATATCACCATTTAATTTGAGTAATTGTTGAAATAAGGCTTGATTAGATAGATGATTTTTGAGTAAGTGCACATATTATCATCATCCTAGGATATTATTTCAAATTGCCATGCTAAATAACTAACTTAAAACTTTGTTACTGTGTCTCTCTGCATAATTTATCCTCTGCAGCATCATTTTCTTGTTCTTTTGTTCTGTTTCCATATACCTTTTCCAGTCCCTTTTCATGAGAACAGATGCTTTTTTTTCCTCACTAAAACTGTATGGATTCTAATGCGCATTGCACTTGAACTGTGAAATTGGAATTTCCAAGTTCCTAGTCGTAAATTTCAACTGGAAATACTCCTGTAGGTTGCAGGTTCCTCTACAACCCAGACTTCAGAATTTAATATGGCTGCACCTGTCATAGGCAGAAGGAAAAGCTGTGGTTACGTACTGTTTATTGGCACTTATGCCCTATTTGTGTCTGATTAAATTGGTTGTACACACAGTACTGTCCAACTGCTATCAGAGAGCATGTTGCTACAGTGTTGCATATCACGTAATGCACTGTTATCAACTGGTATTGCAAACAATGACTAACAATGAAACTGGCATTGCTAAATGGCTTCCCAACTTGTACTGGAACATTGTTACCTAAGAAGTAAAGTCAATACCAGCTCTGACTACTGACCTCTAAGTACAACACAGCATAGTTCCACCATTATATATCTCCTGCATATTAATCAAGATATTTTGATGCAAAACTGATATGAACCTATGCGTACAATATGTCCCATCATAAATAACCTTGAACAAATTAAATATAGACTTGTACTATATACTGCAACTACATGTAAATTCAAGAACTGCAAAACATTCAGGGTACGCTTTAACGCAAGGAGACACTTAGCTTCTACACCATTACAATAAATCTAGAGATAACCCGTCCAACATGTGGTGATGTATTAGGTCTGTGTCTTTTGTGCACCTTGTCCCCACAATATGATACAAACCTATTATTTTCCCTTGTTTGGACATTTTTCTGCTCCTCACAAGGGAAAATGCAGTTTTATGAAAATCTGTGACTGTAATCAAAAAACTAAAAATGCCAGAAATCTTGTATTTTGTTTGGTTACTTATGGTTAAGGTTAGGACTGGGTAGGGGTTAAGGCTGTCATGTTGAGATTAGAGTTGTGCACAAAGAAATGAATGGACGATCCCCTCAAAGATCTGAATACAAACATTTGAGTGTGTGTGTGTGTGTGTGTGTGTTTGTGTGTGCGGGTATACCTATCCTTATGGGGACACAATGTTCCCATAATGTGATAAATATCCGTTTCTTTTCCCTTTCCCGGTTTCCTGGTCCCCATAAGGGAAAACTCTATTTTATAAAAATCGGTGACTGCTATGAAAAAACTGTCATGGTTAGCATGGTTAGTTAGCGTTAGCATTTTTCCCATAGAAATGAATGAGCGGTCCCCATAAGGATATGTTTATCCGATATGTGTGCGTGTGTGTGTGGACGCACATGTTAGCGGGGGAGTGTATTTTCAGAAATGGTTCATGACTTTTTGGTGTGGTTTCAGGGGGACTGAATGAGAAATGCCAAAAAAAACACTGTCTTTGCTTGCTTCAAGAAAATAATTACATGTATGCTATATTCAAAAAAAGGATTTAGAAAAAAATATTTTAATACAATTTTAATTTCAGGAATTTAAATCAAATCTGAAATGTACCGATGCACACATGAAATTATTAGTGTTACATACTCATGCACCCACAAATAAATTTTTTAGGACTGATGTTTTTTATACATTAACAATAATTCCACAGAATTTTCATTCATAAAACAAATTTCCTGGAATAAAAATCTGATTTACCTTTAGACCGTGAAGTGTGTGCAAAACCTTCCAAAATGTAAAAGTGAATGACAGATTGGTATCCTAGAGAGATTAAATCTCACCTATTTTCAGGTTTTAAGATTCCCAAGAGAAATTATCTTCTGATACAATGTGCGGCAGTGTATCTATTCACACTGCACAGTGTTCTTATTCACACTGCACAGTGTTCTTATTCACACTGCACAGTGTTCTTATTCACACTGCACAGTGTTCTTATTCACAGTATATAGTAAAAGCTTTCAGTCATAGAGAAAGCCCTGATGTCTTAGACATCATCTTAGCCTGAGGTGTGTGTGTTTCCCGCCTAATATAACTTATAAGTGGATAGACATTTTTGCATAATTTAAATAAACATTTCATTATAAACTAGGCCCTTTTGGATTGACACAATCATAGACACAACACACTAGGGAAAAAAAGCCTTTTTCCTTGAAACAGTATAGTACACTGCTGTGATTCTTCACTGAGCTCTTTTGGCCGCTGTGCAGCCCAGCCGTAACCCTCTCCTTCAGTTTCCAGGGCCGAGCTTCAAGAGTGTGCTTGCCAGCAACACAAACTTATAAGAAAGCATTAAAGTGCTCTTCTATATTACGGGACAGTTAAAAAAAGGCAAGAGACAGTCATTTCTTAAGGATCAAAGTGCATGCCACCTCGGGGCACAGAGAATCACAAGCTTTTAATATTTTGTCCTCAAGGATTGCTGGATTAATTTGATCAGCAGACTATGGCACGGAGTTTGGCACAGCCAAATGCACACCGCCATGGACATGCCTTCTGCCTAGGGTCACTCTTCAAGGCACACTTCGTAGGCTTCTCGTGGGCGGCACTTTGGGGAAGATCTTTTGGTGGCGGATGCTGTGATCCTGTTGCCGCAGACCCCCTTGTGCCAGTCGTTTTTCTGTGGATACCTTGGGGTTCAGGCTTCTTGAGCGACTGATAGTCGCCTTGCGTGAGGCTGGCTGCTTCTGGGACAAGTGCTGGTTGAAGGAAAGCTGGGGGAACTGTTTTTCATAAAGGGCTGCTGTGTACTGTAGCTCAGGGGTGATCAGGTCCAGGCACTGCTTCCTGATTGGTCCCTTCAGTTCAGGATTGAGGTTATAACCCTGGATAACGGCAGCACCATACTGGAAGGGTGATAAATCTTTGTCCTTCACCTGAGAGGGATCCACAGCCCCCCCCTCCAGCAGGCATGTTTTCGTGAGCTGCTCCCTTTTCTGCTTTAGCATGGCCACCTCTTGCTTCATCCTTTCTTGCCCCCCCATCAAGTCCACCGTCCTCCAGAAGGTGGCGTTGAAGTGAAGGTAGATCTTCCAGTCCAACAAATTCCACACTTTGATCTTGTCTATAGTGTCTGGATGCAGCTTCATCCTGGAATCATTATTTCTGCTGTTCAGCTTAAAGGAGACCACATCATCAAGTGTCCAGCAAAGGGCATTCTTCAGCAGGATCATGGACTCGTCAAAATACTCCGATAGAAGAATGAGGTCAAAGTTTTTCTCAATCATGCTGATAGCAAGTTTGGCCTGCGTCTCCTCATCGCTGCCAATGCTTCCATCGCTGAAGCCAAAGTCAAAAGCAAGGAGGTTTTTCGCATAATGGTTATTAGGCAGTGAGGTGTTATAGAACTTCCAGGGATCGGCCAGAAACTCCTCTAGGCTCCTGGTCTTGTGAAACGTAGCTATGCTTTTGTAGTATATGAAAATGGACTCCATCATTGATACCGGATTTCGCAAAATTGAGAAATAGAATGTTTCCTCTGGCATAACCTTCTTTACCTGGTCAGAAAAAAGGATGTTTTAAAAAACAAAAATCAGAATAATTTATTTTTATGCAGTTTTACAAAGGACATAAATATAGAACATTGGGCATGAGAAATGTGTCCTATAAATAAATTTTGTTTTTGTTATCATTGTTGTTGCTGTTATCATTGTTATTATTAATGTTGTTATTATTATTATTATTATTTTTGTTATATAAAATGTACTCACCTCCTCTGGCATGAACCTCATGTGGTTACACATGATGTTATACTCCTTGACAGTCTTTGACTGGAAGCCCTCGACAAAATGAGCTGCGAAGGTCATGGGATAGAAGAGCTGGCTATGCCTGAGGGCGGGCAGAGCAAAAGTCAGGTTCCTGCTGTCCCCATAGCGGTAGAGGATGTTCAGAATGGTGCTGCTGGCAGTCTTGTGAGTTTTCAGAAAGACTATATGGTTCTTCGGCTGGCAGGAGGCCACCCCGTGGCTCACTGGTCTTGTGGTTGCTTGTGGGGGCTGTGGGGGAAGGGTCTGGCCTAAGCTCCGGGTATCCTGAGGTGCTGGCGTCCTCTTTGTAAATGTCTCTGTAGTTTTCTGCCCTCCAGTGCCCTGAGAGTAACTGTGGGATGGTGACTTCTCCCACAGACGTCTACCTGTAATTCCTGCTGAGCCAGCTGGTTGGGTGTCTGCACTGGGGACCGGAGTGGTGGTCTCTGTGATTCCGCCCCCATCTCTATGCTGGCTGTGTCCTGAGAGCAGCGCACTGTCCGACTGCCCTTGAGGTGTGGTGTGTGTTTTCTTAAATTCATGGGTGAACCTCATGCTGAAGAACTTCTTGGTGGCAGACTGCTTCATAATAATGCTGTTTCTAAAAAAAAAAGACAATTTCATGGCAAAAACAAATGACTATGGTGGTGTGGGAGCTCAGCTGTTAGATCTGTCACCTCACACCTTCAAGGTTATGAATTTATTTCTAAGCCCTGGTTGTGTGTGGAGTTTGTATACTCTCAAGGTGTTTCTCAGCCACAAAGTGCAAACGGTGGTCTTAACATTGCCAAAGCATCAGCACTGGCACTTACCTGGACTGCCTGACCACACCCAGGAACTGAATGGCCACACAGAGCAGCGTCAGCAGCATGAGACCCAGCCACACAAAGCGCAGGTGAGTCCACAACCTTCCCTTCAGCCACCTACAGGGGGCAGAAGTGAGTCGAGTGCTCAGTGAGAGTACATACCTCATCAGCACTTGTTCGTGCACTTTACGAGTTTCTCTCACGTTCCTACACTGTTTGCCATGCACCCGCCCTAATGTTCATACAGTCTGGGTCAATATTTATTACTACTGCACTGTAAATTTATATTTACTGTTTGGTTGTTTACATACTTCCCTCATATTTTAAAGTAACATTTGATGTTAAATATTTCACCAAATCATGTCACCAAATTGTCGCACTCTTTCCCCCACGATAATGAAATTGAATTGAGTGAAATTAAATTGTATTCATGTTTCTAATATTGTTTTCTAAATGACCACTAGATGGTGATACAGCTATACAAACCAAAAGCAAGAGAAGACTAGCTAGTTAAGCATATGTATATCTGAGCCAGGTTGGTGCCCCATCCAGGGTTATTCCCTGTCTTGTGCCCATAGCCCCCGGGATAGGCTCCATACCCCCCCGCCCCGGGATAGGCTCCAGACCCCCACGACCCAGAAACTGGAGGTATGCATGGTATCTGAGCCATTAACTCTTTTGTGCATGTTTGTATTTATGTTTGTATGTATGTTGGTACACATATTATCTTGTGGCTACAAATGACACAAGGTTTTCACTTTTTTCACAATTTCATCTGCTTGTAAAAAACACCAAAAGCGTAGAATCTTGTTTGTGTTTGTCATGAATATCCATTTGATCAAGTGAAACTTCACTACACCTTCTATGAACCTGGTGTGTCACGGGCAATTAAATAACTCTTACCTTTCAGATCTGTTAGTCAGCTCGCTCCAATTAGCAGTTCAACCCTGTCCACTAAAGGGAGGCCTTCTTAGCCTTAATTCACTGTTAGCTTGCATAGCTTTCAGACTTTCAGAGCAGCAAAATGTGTAATGCTATCCCAAGCATAGAGAGCATCAGCAAGTTTTTAATTGCAATATGCAGATGTCATGGGTTTTTATAGTGTGAAGTTTATAGAGTGAAGTTTCAGCTGGTTTTGATCTTCTAGAGCAGGGGTGGCCAATCTTATCCGCAAAGGGCTAGTGTGTATGCAGGTTTTTGGGTTAACCTTTAGGTCAGCTCTTCAATCCCAAGTGTGAGGACTCTTCAGCCAATCAGTCCTCTAATTAGTAATCTAATTTATGAGCTCCAGTAAAAACCTGCATACAGAGTGGCCCTTTCTGTATAAGATTGCCCACCTCTGCTCTAGAGCAATGTTTCCCAATCCGATCCTCGGGGACCTACAGCCGGTCCACGTTTTCTGAGCTCCCTGCCAGACAGTCCATGGGACTAAAAGGTTTCTTTTTAATATGTTGCGTTATGCAAATATTAAAACTTCTAAAACTCTAGAGGGGGTATTCTAGTAGGAGATATGCAAGAGGCTGACAGTCAAAATTGGGCTGAGGTTTACACGTTTGTTTAGATCAAGTTAGGCAGCCGAGTATTAAATTCTCTGGAAAATGCCAGTTGCATAACTTTCTATATTACACTATTTTCCCATGGGATGTGGACTGTATGTGGACCCCCGAGGACCAGATTGGGAATCACTGCTCTAGAAATTACAGTCCTCCTCTGTTAGCCAGAGTAAACAGAGACCAGTGCAGAATGTAGAGACAACACGGCTCACATGGTGACCACATGACCACAAGTAGCTACTTCTGAAACAAAACCACTGACTTGCTGAGTGTGCGTACCCATTCCTGTGTGTGTGTGTGTGTGGGGGGGGGGGGTCTAGCTCTTACCCTCGAGTGACAAACAGCTGTCCCAGGCTAACCCTAGAATGCTCTACAGTGGTGGCCGATTGTCTTAATGGATGCTGCCTTCTGGGTCTCTGTCCACAAGGGGGAGCCAGAGGGAGAACGCTGACGTCATAAAAAACGTGACCTTACAGATGCCCATGCTGAATTGTGACTTCTCTCTAAGGAACTTTCAAGTGTTCTCTCATGAAGAGTTAAGCGATCTTTGGCACCCAGATCAGTAGAATTTGTAAACATGAGTATGAAGCCAGTTCACCTCCCCTGCCCCCCCACCGTCCCCCAGCAGCTGTCCACCCTGAACATCATTAGCTTATTCATAAAGAAGAACATCATACAGAGCATTACTAGACCCCTGCTGGGTTTACAGTTTCAGCAGATCCCAATATTTTTTGGATCATGTGGATAATTCTAAACAAAAGAAAAGATAGGTCATAAACTTCTGTAACATGAACAGGAGTTCAGGAGCAGCTGACCTGGGGTTTGACATCACAGTAAGGGGGAGTGTCATGCTTTACTGCCTCTCATTGGGTCATATCCGGTGGCGAGGGGTCAGCAGTCCCAAAGCCACATTCATCCCAGTTCTGATATAAAACCTGCATCTTAAAATCACTGTTTTCCCTCAAAAGAACATGTGTGATGTAGTCGATGTTCTTGCTCACACACAGATAAAGTCCACTGAGAGTGGATCAGAAGCAGCTCATGCCACGCCCCTGCTTGGCGATGATGTAACCAATCGCATTCTTCATGTCTGACAAGCAGAGGCCTCCCTGAAGAGTGAAGGAGAGCTATTGAAGGGAGAGGTTCATTAAAATCTCAGCACGCCGCGATTGGACGGCGCTGGCCTCACACTCATTGAATGTGACCAAGCCTTTTGCAGGTTTGTGGCTTCATCTGGGAGCACTTTAGCTGCTGTCTGAGGGACTGAAGTATGAAGGAACGAGGTCAGTAAGCTTGACGTGCAGCAGCAGTTCGCTCAGCCTTACAGGACACTTTCATTATGCAAGGAGAGTTCAGTTACACTGAAGGTTCTGTATCTTTTACTGCTGATTATGTACCTTAGCTATCTGACTAAAAGGGCCTGTATTTAAATGAGACCACTGTGGAATGTTCTCGTTCATCCACATGTTACTTGCATCAGTATTGCTTGTGAATGAAATCAGTGGCAAAATGGTGTTTAGTGGATATTTTTGCTAATTAATTTCAGACAAAGAACAAGTACGATGGGTTTTGATCACACCCTCTATATAGCGACTATTATTTTGGTAAGGTGCGGTTTGATGACTAATTTACACAGTTCAATGGCACAATAATTTCCTAAATTAGGCTGCTAAACACGGTCAAATCACAATTAAAATGAACAGCAAAAGAGACAGAGAAACAATAAATGACATCATGTGAAAAACGTCCACAACACACAAACATTAATGCGGAAATAATGAGCTCTATAAACCTGAAACCTATTCCAAATGATCAGCATTCAGCCATGAGTCCTATTTCTAATATTAGTGTGGAACATAGTGATTAAGTCTCATAAACAGACATACATTCATGTGAAATAAAAGCATTAACACAGATGTAAATGGTCTCTGTATTAAGCTAACAAAGGTCTACCTAAAGTGTTTTATAAGGCTACTTAATACAATTAATTTTAAATCACTTCCTGTTCTGTAAAAGGAATTACAAGAACATTAACCTAGAAAGTTTCAAATGTGAACCCTGCTGGATATCTTCAGTCTTTGATAATGAGTTCTAAGAGCCTTCCTGTGGCATTATGAACCTCCAGTTTAACAACATTGGTCAGGTTTAACTTTGCCTAGGCCTAAGTTTAAGTCGAAGTATTTTACTGTCAACATTGATAGAATAAGAATGCCAGATTTGATACATACAAAATGAAAACATTAAAATCATTGTTTCAATGCTGTTATGTAACAATTCCCCTTTCAATCATGGCATGAACTGTCACAGAGATGTTTAGTGTGATCTGGCTATGACTCATGTATACTTACTTTTGGTGATTGATTGGGTGTCCAGGATTTTTACAAGACTGAGCTGGCCGACCCTTGGTGCTACAGGGCTCAAGTGATTGGCTGTGGCTTTTGGCCTGATAACTATGGATTCATATTTTTCTCACCTTAATGACTTTACTCATGATGCCAGCCCAACACATGCAGCAGCAAGATGCTCGTGATGCTCATTACAACCTGCCTCACATTTCTGTGATTCTATGTTTTTGTGTTTAATCAATATCATGCATCAGTTCCAAGCCTTCCTTTCACTAGTGATGGGGACAAGACCTATACTGAGTTCAGTTCAAGACCAAGACCTTAAAGGGCAAAGATTGTAAGGGGGGGGGGTCCATTTTCGAGACCATGGTTTTACTAATACTTTTTTATCATCATCATCCCTGCTGAAATTCAAAAGCAAAACTGTACCATTCAAGCATCGTAATCCTTTGATCTCAAACATTAGTATTTAATATCACAAATGTTGAGTTAGTATTCATTGGTTATGCTTCCTGCTTTTTAAGTGTAAAACAACATATCTAGCAAACACTGTAATTAAGGTCCCAAAGTGGTTAAGCACACACACACCCTGTCCTTACAGCAGATTTATGCACGACTTCCTTAATGGTGTTAAATATTTGAACCGAAATTTAAGCCTTATTCCAATTTGCTGAGGGGGGTGGGGGATCAACCACACGGTCTGAAAGTATGCTTTAGATGACATCTTGTGTTGGTTCAGGGAGGGTCACAAGGTTTTTTTTTTCACAGTAATATCCAGGAAGAGGAACAACTATATTCAGAATAGAAGAAAACTGAGTATCTTTTCTAAAGGAATTCCCAAAGTAGCATTAAATTCTGGGACCGTCTTTTAAAAAATAAAATAGAACTAGAAACTGCAGGCAGTTACGAACGGGTCCAAAGCTCGGACAAGTAGGACAGGTAGGACAAGTAATAGAGAAATAACGGCGGAAAACTGGAGGACTGTCACTGGTGGCAAAGGTAGTCGAAAGTCAGGCAGAGCAATACTCTCATAACAGGATGGAGATTCAGCATAGGTCTAATGTGATAGTAGATGTAGGACAGAGCAGGACTGGTTTTGGTGAGATTGTCGTAGTAGTAGGTTGAAAATTTGATGAGATGCATTTAGTGTAGGTGTAACAGGTCAGTAGATGTTGGAAAGAATGTAGAACCCTCCGGTGTAGTGCCTATGCCTGTCTTA